AAAAAGAACCGACTCATTCATTCTGTAATCGTATACTCGTCACGCTGTCTTGTTCATGCTATATATTCCGTAGCATTGTTGCAGCGTCATGAGTAAAGTCAGAGTATTTTAGTACTATGTATGTTTCATCTCCGTTACAGGAAGAATGCCAAGACCAAACATTATTAGAACCGAACGTCATTTGGTTTCGCTATTATTTTAGTCATTACAGCATATTTAAATCAATTCATCGATTGCGGTGTGATTCAATTTGAATTGTTTCAGTAAAGCGGCGCGAGATCACGTTTTATAAGGATACATTTGGTAGACTGCATCTATGGTTCAGGAGAGTTTGTCAGCCACTATTTTCTTTACCTCCATATTAAATTAATGATTTAGTGTTTGTTGTGTGTTAATTAGACGGTTTTGACTGGACTCAGTGAGCGCGTTGAGAAATGTGAAGGGGGAGAGATTTTTCTTGTTCTTTTCGTAGTTTGTTTTTGTTTGTATTGTATTGCATTGTGTTATATTTCTTTGGAATTGTATTCTTTTATTTTGTTTGTTTGGGTATTGATGGTAACAACGGTACAATTCAGTGTAATGGCATTGAGCAATATGCAATAATACCCTTTAAAGTTGATCACAGAAGTGTGCTGATTGCAGTGTATCACGTGAAGGTTATTGATTAATTTGTGGTGTGATTCTCTGCTTGTGAATTGGAGTAACTTATTGTGTGTAGTGGGTTTTGTATTTAAAGGGTTTATGACCTGCCTTGCCTGTGTACACCACATTATACCCTTTTTTTTACCTGTCATGTTGTGAAATGTCTTAGCATTATATGCAAGTGTAATAAGGAATAAAGTTATGTATTTTGTACACCAGCACCTGCCTTTGTCCTTTAATTAGGATATGCATGTTATTAATTGTTTAATCAGGCATTTGTCCATTTCTGAGCACGGTAAGGCACCTGAAGGCCACACAGGTATTATGCATTTATGTGACGAAGGCATAGCTAGCTAGCAACCTCTAGGCTGTAGTAACGAACGGCAGTAACTCACGTTTGATCGGGCAAACCACTGCACTGTAATTATTAGGTGTGTTCGACTTGAAGCAGGGCTGTGAAGAACAACCAGTGTATGACACGAGAGCGATTCGAAAGCATGAGGAGCCGACTGCTCTCCATAGCTCTGTACTTTGATGTCCACACACCGATCGATCTGCGCATTGCTGCTTCAAGTCGAACACACGTCTTATAGTGTTAGGGGAGGGGCCATGCTCGGTGGCTCCATTGCGTCATCGAGCCACCGTTTTAGCCCCGCCCACAAAATCCTAAACACAGAATTGGTGAAAAACTGTTTAACGGTTCAACTCCACGATTCAGTACTACATAGTTCGGAGTCTTTGTAATGTGTTTCTGCAATACATTTCTAACATTTATAATGTGTTTAGAAACAATTTTCTTTACACGGACTTTAAGTGTTCTTTCAAATCAATTAGATTGTTTTCTTATTTCTTTCACAAGAATCTATTTAATGTTTCTGATCTGTTCATGGAAGGAGCAACAGCAATCATGATTCAAAAGCAGCCAGTCGGAGTGTCATTAAAATTGGCAGTTGAGATTCAATGGCTGCCTGCCACATGCCAGAAAGAGCTTAATCTTCCTCTCGACAGATTTTTTTCTATAGTCAAATCCAATAAAAGCGCTCTCTCTGGACAGCCTTGTTTCGTCTTCGTCAGATTTGTAGCCTGTTTCACCTATGAACAACAAAAGTGTCATTACCATGAGCTGTGCTTGTCCTTTGATGTCTTTAGTGTTGACGACGAGCAAAAGAATGCCTATAAATGAAATAAACAGCTGCAATTGCGGTACATATTTGCAGTTGCATTGTAATCTACTGTAAACAAAAACATTGACATTTGCTGATCGACTACAGTCGACTGTAGCCAGGATGTTGTAGAATACTGACTTTGACAGACACGTTAACACTAAAGTAAACCAACCTGTCAGACCTGCTCGGGCATGCAAACCATCTGTATCAAGTTATTGTAAACTTTATATGAAACATCTGACTGTCAAAGTGTGGATTTCTTTTTACTGCTGACTTTATACTTTTCGATTGTGTGTTAAACCTGTAGCCTGTGTGCTGATGTTCAGCTTTGGTAACTCAGTCAGGGCTTTTAAATGGTCCACACAGTTGGTTGTAGTGCAGTGCTGGAACAAGATATATTTACATAGTAGTAGTTAACGCAAACTTTTAAGGGTCAACAAAAGAAACATCACTGTTTTTGTGCCTTAAAAAGTCTAGAGGTCAGAGACTGTGAAGTACAAAGACGCAAAACTTCTCAGGCATGCAAACAAACATCAATCTGACACTAGGTGGCATTAGAGCAAACAAAATCATGTGTTGTTCCTCATTAATAACAATAGACAATATGCATTTGGAAAAGCACTATGCATCTAAATTTAAAAATGGAGAGCCACATATCGGATAGCTATTGATTGTATTCCAAAAGTGTTGGGGGAAACATAAATATATGTAAAAGTGAACAGATTCTGTCCTGTGTTGACATATTTCTGAATTTTAGGCAAGACATATTTAAGGGCTGTTCTTATTAAACAGTCAATAGTCTTTAAACAGTCAATAGTCTGCGGTTACATCAGACTTGAACATGACTGGCTGCTTGCTAGTTGTGTGCAGGTGGCGTTAGGTGGAGGCAGGGCCGTCCTTAGGGGGGGTGCAACTGGTGTGGTCGCACCAGGCCCCGTGCTTGAGGAGGCCCCGTGGTGAGCGGACCGAGGGGGACCCTGCTCCCTACCTCACACCGGGCCCCGCGTCAGCTAAGTACGGCCCTGGGTGGAGGGACATTCTCATTCTTGAGAGCATTTAATTGGACAAAAATCTGTGTATCAGCGTCATTAATACAAGAACTAAAGGCCAAACACATTCAGTGTTTTATTACATCTACAAAATACAGAAAAAGTAGTAAACACTTTAACTTATTTAATATTACAAAAGCTTTCCTGATTCAGCAGAAATAGAAGCAGGCAATACCATTTCAAAATCAAATACATTCTTCTATTTGCATAGCAACATTTTCAAGACTTTCCATTTTGAATGTTTTCAGTGCATTTGACTTTGGTTTATAGAACATTGCATAGCACACAAATAAATCTAGAAAAAGGTTTCAAAACAAGAATACATAATATGATATTAAGTAGGGCTGCACGATTAATCGCATGCGATATTTAACGTGCATCTTGTCAGAAAGCCGGTTCTGTAATCAGCGGTAACGCGTTAAATATCGCATGCGATTAATCGTGCAGCCCTAATATTAAGGCACAGCGTAGTAGGCCTATACATAACAAACATACATTCAACATTATGAAAAGACAGACATCTTGACATGATTGTCCTTGATGAATTAGACTTAACACTTCTAAAATTAAGTCTCCTGTTGTACAATCTCTTCTAAAATGATAATTTATATAAAATGTGCTTGATAAGAAATTGGTGATTGAAATGAGATAGGTTTGATGAAATGTGATACAAAAAGTATTTTGTGCATCTGTGTTGTTTTCAATGTACTGTAAACAGAAGCATTCCTGCTAAGGGCAGTGCATAACAATGTACATAGGGAGCAAAATAACTCTATCATCATTAAATGACATTATCAGTATCTTTCTTACGGATGGCTCGCAACAAAAAATATAGCGCCACAATAAGAAGGAAGCAAAAGAGGACGATCAGAGCACTCCAGGCGCCTGAGCGCAGTGATTTCCTCAGTAAAACATCTTCAGCAGGCAGCAGGTTACTTAGGCTTAGCATGAAGCCAAGGGACCAGCCAACAGATGTGTCTCCCGCCTGCAAACCAAAGCAACATGTTAACTTTTTTTTTTTTTAACCTAGAGGGGTCCACTTATTCACCAAGCTTTAGGGAAAAGTTCACACAAAAATAAACATTTACTGAAAATACTACTCACCCTCAAAACATTTCTCACCCTCAGGCCATCCGAGATGTAGATGAGTTTGTTTCTTCATCCGAACGAATGGAAGAATTTAGCATTACATCACTTGCTTACCAATGGATCCTCTGTAGTGATTGGGTACCATCTCAAACAGCCGATAAAAGCATTACAATAATCCATCAATTAATGTCCAGTGAAGTGAAAAAATTGTGCGTGTTTTTATTACCAAATCTCATTCTGATGGCACCCATTCACTGCAGAGGATCCATTGGTGAGCAAGTGATCTAATGCTAAATTATTTCAAATCTGTTCTGATGAAGAAACAAAATAATTCTAGGATGGCCTGAGAGTGAGTAAATTTTCAGCAAATTTTAATTTTTTTGGTGAACTATTCCTTTAAATCAACACAAAAAACTATTACAATCCATTTTACTCCTGTAATGTGATGAATATTCTTTTTTTTTAATTAAGAATAAAATGAAATATAGGCCTAGTACTTGAGTTTATTCATGTGAAATTGACTAGACAGTGAAAAGTGTTCTCTATGTGACAAATGTTTGAAAGGAAGGGGTTGAAAAATTAGAAAGCTTGGTGATATCAAAATGAAAATTTGTATGCCTATAAACAGGGAACGTGCATTAAGGAGGTAAATAGAGTCAGTTTTTGCAAATAGGTCTAACTACCTTCTTCTGGAAGGAGATGTGCGGGAAGGAGAAAAAATCAAAGCCATATCCATTGACCAGGAGCACCTGCACAAAGGCAGAAACTGTGCAGTAGTCCTTCAAACGGCTTTCCTGACCCTGAACTTTATTTGTGATCTAGGGCAAAGAAAATGAAAGAGAAAGTTGAGAGGAATATCTTAAAGTAATTTAATAGGCTAAATATATAACTGTTAAATATTCAATATTGCATATTGCTTCATTTGAAAACAATAAGACAGTGTACATATAAAATAACGTCTTCATATAAGATAAAGTAAGTTCTCTTAATCTGAGAACCTGAGACTCTCAATCATTGGTCGATTGCTGAGATATGGGGAAAGTCATCTCAGAATAGCAGGGCTCAAAATTAGCTCAGCGGGGCAGTACCTCCTGAAAGCTCATGTTGCAGACAACATGGGTAGCATCCTCTAAATGTTCTGGGGACGTGATGCTGATGCCTGTTGCTTCCTGAAGAAAGGAATGGGTGTAGAAAAATGCAGAAAATGCCTGTGCCAGAGAAAGAAAAAATGGTGATGGGAGAGATAGATTGCATTATCATAATAGTGACACATGCAATCATGACACTGTGCCCAGAAAATGAATTCATGATTTATTTTAATGCTTTGAGCTGTCTCACTTAATAACTGCTTACATGTTAACAT